AATAAACTTGTTATGATCAGAGAGTGACCATAAAAATTATAAAATCTGGGATCCCTGGGTGGTGCAGCGGTTTAGCACCTGCCTTTGGCCCAGGACGCGATCCTGGAGACCCGGGATGGAGTCCCACATCGGGCTCCCGGTGCATGGAGCCTGCTTCTCGCTCTGCCTGTGTCTCTGCCTCTCTCTCTCTGTGTGTGTGACTATCATAAATAAAAAAAAAATTATAAAATCTGCACAACAGTTTATCCAGAGGTACAAAAAAGAACTCACTCTACAAAGTAGGGTGAATAGATAGTGGAGACAAAGAATACAGGTGTGTGTGCGTCTGTGTGATTCCGTCTTTTGAGTGCCATTTGTTCAACATAACAGTGAACATGCTTCAGCAAACTGATATACTGAAAAATTAAAATCTAGTTTCTCTAAGAGTTAAATGAGGCATGACTATTCGTATAGAAAAAGAATTGTGAAGGAAAGTGATCGGATCAAAATGGCAGATGCCTACTTTCATTCCTGTCCCAGATCCCTAGAAATGACAGAGCAGATAAACGCTTGAATCAATAAGCCCATGGCTGCATCAAGAGACACAGAAAGTACACTCAATTGGCCTAAATTTATACAGAATTCCCAAAACAGAAAGGCAGATGCACTTGTGCTGATGTTGGAAAAGATGATTCAAAGTAGATCCTTGAAAGGATGTTGGGATCAGTGGCATCAACTCCAAGCTCAGAGATTATGGAAACCATAAGCAAGAGGAGGCCCTGACTCCACTACCCACAAGCTCCAAACATCTTCCTTTTTCTGGTTTAAGTGGTTCTCCTCCAATGGCATTTAAAATTATTCCATTTACACAAATGTGATCCATATGTCTCTTTCAGGTACTTAGATCTGAACACAAGAAGCATCTGTAACTACAGTCTTATGGCCAAAACACTATTCTACTATGTGTCAATCAAAGAAAAAAAAACCTGAACCAATTAAGTAAATGATAATTGAATTTCTCAGATCTGGTATAATTATATCCCTTTATATCCCTTTTAGGGTCATTAATTTTTAAATGTCATATTTTCAGCCACTACAAAGCTCATATTTGAGACCTACTTGGCTATTCTTTATCAACTCATTAAAAAAATGTAAGCGTACTTTTGTACTGTTCATTTATTTAAAGTCCAAAATGACTGTAATGCTATTAATACTAATCTTAGCCTAATTTGCTCCTCCACATCCTGCTGTTAGTTCCAAAAATGCCTTGGCACTGATCCATTGACTGTATAAGAAAAATCTGTTTGGTAAAACCACTCATGGTTTTCCTTGTTGCTTTATGTCTGACAAGTTCTCATCTTCTATGACATAGTATCAAATGTACCCTGTACATATTTCTTCTCAGTTTTGAGGAAGTTTCCTTCCTCAATAGCAGCCTTAAATGCCAATTGGGACAGAGCCTTTGGTAGTGTTATGAGGACCCTTCAGTGAGGGACTTTACAAATGAAGGAACAATGATAGAAGTGCTCCTGAACATTTTAGTTTGCATGGGACTCACTCTGGTGTAGTTAAGCAGTGTCTGAATAAAGTTTAAACAAAATACCAAGACAAAATACTATAGTTTAACATACTATTTCCTGTAATTGCTTAGACTAGTAAAACAATCAGAGAAAGTCAGTGGTTTGAATGACTGCTCGTTTGTGAAACTGCATGCACACAGCCCCATGTGGTCTCCTAAAGCTTTAAGGACCACAGGGGTAGGAATTCAATTACGCCACTACTGAAACCTGACTGGTATGTTTTCAGATTCCATGGAGGATGGTTCCTTTAGACTCAGCTGGAGAGCTTTGCTGTGGCTGCTGTGGCCACCTCCACTAGGAAGCCATCCCTGATCCTCCCCTCAACCCATTCCAGTTCAGGTGCCCCTCTCAGCATCTTGATCTTCTTCTTTCTATCATAACATCCATCATACACTTTGTCACTGTGGTTGTACACTTGCACTTTTTCCACAAGCCTGTGAGTTCCTAATGTACAGTGACCTTGTTCTGAATTATGTTTCTTACCCCAGCACTTAACAAAATAATGGGGCCTCAATATATATTTGTGGAATATAGTCATTCTTCCTTCCCTCCTCCTTTCATCTTTTCTTCCCTTCCTTCCTTCTTGCCTTTTCTTGTCTTTTTCCTTCTTTCTTTCCTTCATTCTTCTTTCCTTCCACAAGTATTTATTGAGGACCTGCTCTGTGCCAGGCACCATTCTAGGAAGTGGAAATACAGCAGAAAACAAAACAAAGTCCCTCCTCTCATGGAGCTTGTATTCTAGCCAAGGGATGCAGACAATTCACAACTAGGAAGTCTTAAATCTATCCAGTGATTTAAACAGCATGAAGAAAACTAAATTAAGGGAAGTGGACAGGTAGGGATGGTGGGAATGGACTGCTCTTTTATATACAAATGGAAGTAGCTCATTGAACAAGTGAGGCTTGTAAGGAGGTACAATCAGAAAACCTGTTCTTCCGCCATCATTGCCCATCCATAGACATTTGGAGAGGCAAATTCTTTCTTATGCTCCTTGATAAAATCTAGGACAACTGCCAGGATTTCTGTGGCCATTCTCAGATAATATAAAACACTTTCTGGTTAATTCTGTCCCAAGAGGAGTCTTATTGAAGTAAGTAAAATACCCAGTACCGTGTACTAGTCAAAACTGTATTTGAAATGAAAGACTCTTTCTTGTAGTTTGGGTCAGCATTGGCCTGGCGTACCTCAGTAGGGAAGCAGGAGGCACAGTTGGCTTCTCAATTGTCCCCTTTAAACTTCTTTCCAACTCCTCAACTCCCTCTGGTTCTTGAGGGTTTAACTTGTGAGTGTGGGGATATGAGAAAGGAGAGAGGTAACTACAAGAAAGGTGGAAGTATAATCTTGTTTTGGTTTCCTCTGGGCATGTCTGATGTCTGATCCTCTCTGGAACTGATGGATATTCAAAGTTCACTATCTTAGGGTATTCTGTAGACCTTGAGATCCCTTCTGAAAACCTTCATTGGTTATGTTCCATGACACAGGATGCCACTGTCTGTACTTAACCGTCCTACCTCAGCCCCTGGGAATCCAATCAATGTCCTTCCCATCCCTATATGAGGGGCTCTTGGGCAGGTTCTAAAATGGCTCTCTGTCATCTTTCTCTTCTACATAGCCCACATCCAATCCCCAAAAGCCACATCTGGGCCTGAGTATTCAATTATCCTTGTCCCACCAATGTAGCTAGTTCTCCTCTTTCTGCTCTGCTACTTTGGACAGATCACCAGAGCTTTATATCTATAACTTCATCAAGCAGGTGAGACTCACAGTACACCTTTTCGAAACCCTGTTTCTACTCTCAAACTCTTCTTTTGGTTTCTTGGATTTCAATCCTTTCATGTGAGTACTGGCCTAAGGACACCATCTTTGAGGGTTTTGCCTACGTGGCCTAATATTTCACTTTGGAACACGGGACTATGGATTTGTTTGTGGCCTTTTGGAGTCTCAGCCAGAATGTAGACAAAGAAAGGCCTGTTTAAAATCCTGTTACAAATAAACAATGCTCACGGTAGCCACAGTAGCAGCAATTAAGGGCTTCTGGAGAACTACAGACAGTGAAATGGAAATGCTAGTGGACAAAAACAAACAAACAAACAAAAAACAACCACTCAGCAGCAATATTGCAAAATGTCAAAAAATGCTCAAAAGACATGTAGGAGAGGACACAGATGGGAATGGAGCTAGCTAGCATGTGTGCTGACATAATCCAGGAAACAGGACAGAGGTGATAGATAAAAGATACCAATGCCCCAACACATATGCATGCCCAAGCCAGAGCAAAAAAAAATAATGAGGTTCATTTTCTGCAAAGAGGATGCATGCTGGGGGGTAAAAAGGCCCCTGGGCTGGGAGTGAAATAATTTGCACTCCAAGAGACAGTTTGAGAAGTATTTAAGATGTTAGACTCTGGAACCAGAGGGGGAAAATAGATTTTAATTTTTCTTACACTTTCTTGCTTTTTGACTTTGAACAAGAGATCAAGCTTCACCAGGTCTGGGTTTCCCCATTTATACAGTGTGGTCACTTACAGTGCTAGCTTGAAGAACTGTCCAGAGGATGAAATGAGGCAGTGTTCATGCAACCATCTTATTGAATTGATCCTATTACATTAGTAGGATGTAATCATGAAGCAACTTCATTTTTAATCAAGCTGCCTCTTCCATTCCACATGGATGGCTAGTTCTTTCCCTTTGCTTAATGGGAATTTTAGGCAAGTCCCGTAACTTTTCTAGGCCCCTCAATCTTGAGAAGGATCTCATTTTAGTTATGAAATTTTCCAGTCCAGTGAAATAATAAAAACTGCTAACTGCATTAGATTTAAGCTTCTCACCTTCCCAGCTGGGTGCTGCTTTAGGCGTGGAATCCTGCAGCAGATGGGCCTTGTTGTTTCACATGTGTCATACACTGGACTCTATGTCCTCTAAGTTCCAGGACATACCTCTTAATCTCTTTAATAACGAACAACTACTACTTTACGACAAAAACAAAGGTCTTCAAATCAAAGAACTAGACTCAAACTCTCACTCTTCCACTCCCTAACTGTGTGACTTTGAGTAACCTCTAGGAGTTTTGCCTCCTCTGTAAAACAGAGATAATACCACCTACTTTACAGGGTTATTGAAGGTTAAAGGAGACATTGAACAAAATGCTGTGGCTGCAGCAATACCATCAAAACAGCACAAATAACTTACTGAGCACTTGCCATGTGCCAAGCACTGAGTTAACCATTTTATTTGCTTTATTTCATTTAATTTCTCCAATAACCTTATGACGTGCACATTTTACAGGTAAAGTCACTTAAGCACGCAGTGACTAAGTAACCTGCCTTAAGTACCCAACACAGCATAGGAGGGTTGGTACCAAAATGGCACTCCCCCCTTTATTTTTCCACATTTCACCAGAAGGAAGATTCCAGATCTAAAGAAATCAGTAGCAACTACTTACAGAGGGTTCGTCAGTTCCAAGTCGACAGTATGTTGAATTACACAGCTTTTTTATTTCCTCAGGACCCTCTATATCATAATCTTTTGGATCGGCTTCTCTGTTATGGTGCCTTAAAAAATAAATTAGGGTCTGTTAAGGGATGAAGCTTATTTATCATGTATTGCATTTTAAAATTTTTTTAAATTATCCAATGAAAATCTACTATATTTGTGACATTGTTTTAATTATAAATTCACTAGATGTGGGATATATAAAGTATTTTTCATCTCTTTTCATGTAACACTGAGGCTATTTCCTAAAAACAATATAGCACATGTGATAAAACTATCACAAGAACAATACTTATCCAACACAGCAATTACTCAGTGACTCCAATTAGGTGAACTTTATTCAATAATGTAGATTAGTTACCAAAAGTAAATTCTAAAATAAGACATGGTAATAAATTAGAAAGACAACTTGCCTTTAGAAATTTTTTCTACCATGAATTTTAATTAAAAATTTTTTTTTCAAAATGAGAAAGAGCAAACTATCTGCTCATATGGATTTATGACATGTGCTTCCTGCTTCTAAAGAAGATTTAGGGACACCTGGATGGCTTAGTGGTTGAGTGTATGCCTTTGGCTCAGGTCATGATCCTGGGGTCCTGGGATCGAGTCCTGCATTGGGTTCCTCACAGGGAGTCTGCTTCTCCCTCTGCCTATGTCTCTGCCTCTCTCTCTGTCTCTCATGAATAAATAAATAAATCTTTTTTTTAAGAAGGTTTAAAGGAAGCTGAAAGTTAAACATAAGCTGGAAAAACATGTAAATAGAAGAAGGAAAAATATTCCAAATGTCTTGACTAAAAGAGTGTATTGAAATAATAATAAAGGAGAGATTCGGGAAGAGGGAAGGAAAAAGGAAGTGGAGTGACCTGCAGCAGAAGTAGCTATTTTTAACAAAGCTTTCTTGGGCGAGATAAAGGAAGATGAACTCAAACATCCCTCAGAAGGGGCCTTGCTATAAAGGAAAACAGGGCTTGGATTGTGTAAAGGATATTGGGGTGCCCCCAAGTTCATTCATCCATCCATCTAGCCATCTAGCCACCTATCCAACTGTCCATTCATCCAGCAAATATTTCAAGTACCTACTACATGGCAGGCAGGGAATGCAATGGAGACCAAGCCTGATGCAGTCCCTTCCCTCAGCTCACACGCTGGTGAGAGATACAAACAAAATAGAAAATTCTACAATGTGGACACAAGGTCATGGAAGCAGAACAGCATCCAGTTACCTTGGATGGGTCACTCTACTCTAAGTCAGGAGGCCCTTTAGGGCCTGACCCTCCACTTCACCTTACTGTACTGGGGCCGGGCTCCTGCTCTGCATTCAAGCTACATCCTTGCCTCTCCACCTCTGAGATGAGAGCAAAATACTGCATAGAACACAGCAGCAAAGGAGTCCAGGGTGGAGCTGCAGAGCTCAGGCATATGAACCCTCTACCCTCCCCACATCTGAGCATTAAATTGCAAAACACTAAAAGCATTTTGGTATCATGACAGCATTCTTTGAGAGCCTCAAAGGAAGCTCTCACTTAAGTCCTTAGGGGGAATACTGACCAACATCAAGAACCAGGAGTAATAGAGCAAATGAGGGGGATCCCTGGGTGGCGCAGCGGTTTGGCGCCTGCCTTTGGCCCAGGGCGCGATCCTGGAGACCCGGGATCGAGTCCCACGTCGGGCTCCCGGTGCATGGAGCCTGCTTCTCCCTCTGCCTGTGTCTCTGCCTCTCTCTCTCTCTCTGTGACTATCATAAATAAATAAAAAAATTTTAAAAAAATAGAGCAAATGAGGCTGTGGGTTTAAGTCATTGCTCATGTCCTAGCTGTGTAACTTTGAGCAAGTCACTTAACCTTTCTGCATTTCCATTTCCACATGTGTAAAATGAGGACAAAAAAAAAAAAAATACCAATAAGATTTTTGCAAAATGAAAAAAAAAAAGCAGAAAGTCTTCCAAATATTGTAAAGTATCACAATGTATAGTGAACACTAATCCAGCTTTTAAAAACTCTGGTGTACAAAATTACAACTTTATTTTTTCCAAACTGTACTTAATTTTTTTCCCAAGTGCTCATATTGCCAAGATGGAAAAACCTTAATCTTGGGTCAGTTCTGATCTCTTCCAACTCTCAAGGGACTGTATGTTGCCACAATGTCAAGAATCCATCTTTGTTGTCATGATCTCTCCCTGTGGACATTGATGGAAACCTCCTCATCCTCCTTATGGATCCATGCAAATCTCGCTACACCCTTCTGATCCTGCCACACAGACTCTTGCCTAGACTGGCACTCTGCCACAAGCGTGCCATTATCTAGGCCACCAAGAACTTTCATTTGTCCCTCTCCACTCAGGCTTCCTGAAAACAGATGTCATCCTTGAGCTGTTTGGCCCATCAAGAAGGTTTCATGTCCCTACCACATTGGGCTTGGGGGACACAGAGAAACCCCACTGTTCAAAACCATTACCCTGGGAATGGAGGGCTAGGCAGTGATAGGTCCCATTTGTTTTTTGTTTTTTGTTTTTTTGTTTTGTTTTTTTTTTTTTGTTGTTTTTTGATAGGTCCCATTTGCTTGAGAATTTCTAAAGCCTTCATTCCAATTTGGGGTCCCAGACAAACCCACACATTCTCAACTTCTCTGGTGCCCTCCATGAACTCTTCATCTACCATGGGACAAGGTAAACCTGCCCTTCATCTATTCTTCCAAATCTATGGTATCATCCTAAGACCCAAGCTTTTGAACCTCAAAGTCAAGAATTTTATGTTTTTGTTGACTGCTGGGTCTTTCTTTCCTGAGCCAATAAAACCAGACTATCTCCCTGGGAGCATAAGAATGATGAGGAAAAGCACAGTTAACATTTCAATGTGTGATCTTAGTGCTCACTTTTTTTACTATTCACCATGGGCACATTGCCAGGGTACACAGAGTGTTTTAAGTATTTTTTAATCAGCAAATAAAGAATATAATTCATCTTAGATTGTATCCATCTTTATGTCAAAGTAACTATAAACTATCATTTTTTTTAACTTTTCTTTTAATGGAGGAAGGAGCCCATGAAGGCAAAGATAATTAGTGTCCATGAAAGTCAGAATGTACTATTTTAAGTTGTATTATAACTAGATTATTACAAAAGATGCAGATACATTTCTTTACTTATAGCAATATCAGTACTAAAAGTCCAGCACTGAAAACATGAATCTATAATGAAAGACCTTCTGGGGAGAACTGAACTAATACAACTGGCATCTCCTAATGCCTGCCAGTTGCCCACATATGTGCCCACGGTCTACAGGTTCTGAGAGATACCTGCCCCTACATCTATGAGGTTGCCCCCTACTTCTAAGAGGTTGCCAGCCTAGCAAAGAGAAGTATACATGTTTAAAAATTATAAGATATATAAAATATAATGTAAAACATAAAAATAAATATTTATTACATACTAAACTCCTGTTTAATATGTATAAAAATATAGTAAAAGTGATTAGGGTATTATAAAGAAAATGAGAGACTTAATTAATTCCTTGATTCTGTCAGGTGAACATTGGCTTGTGCCTCAGTTTCCCTGAGATGAACAGAATCCTACAGTGAAGAAACAAATGAATCAATGGATTGAGAGTCTCAAGTGAAAAGTGACGTAAATTCAAAATATTAAGTGCAATAATATTGTGTCTATCTACTGTATACTTAGTTGGGTGTTCTTCAATATTTTTTTAAGATTTTATTTGTTTATCCATAAGAGACACAGAGAGAGAGAAAGAGGCAGAGACACAGGCAGAGGGAGAAGCAGGCTCCATACAGGGAGCCTGATGCGGGACTCAATCCCGTGTCTCCAGGATCACGCTCTGGGCTGAAGGCAGAGGCTCAACCACTGAGCCACCCAGACATCCCTCTTCAATATTTTTTAATGTCAATTAAACCCTACAGCATCTTTATGAGACATATATCAAGGTATTATATAATAAAGTAAAAAATATATATATTTTATATTTTATACATATATATATACATATACTTTATATAGCCTTGTTCTCCTTGCTACCTGAATTTATTAATGGTCACCATACAACTGGCAATAATCTGTCATTTATTGTAATAGAAATCCATTATGAGAAAATATTAAAATAAAATAAATAAAATTGACAATGTCTCTGGAGCAGTAACTTTCAAACTTTTTGAGCACAGCCCCCAACCCAGCCCACCCCAACCCATCTTGAGACATTGTCTCAAGATATTTTTAGTTGTTGCATCAGGGTGGGGTGGGTTGTTACTGGTATCCAGTGGATAGAGGCCAGTGATGCTGCTAAACATCCCACCACATACAGAATAATCCTCCCCCCAATAACAAAGACAGATCTGGCTCAAAATATCAAAACCATCAAGTTTAAGAAAGCTCCAGGGAGCAGGTGTATACCAGACTCTTAGATCAGTGGTTCTCAAACCTCTTTAACGAAGCAGCAAAACATTCCCCCCAGATTTGTGGAACCAACATAAAATCGACAACTTTGTTTTGACAGAAACACTAAAAATAAAATAATAAAAAATAAAATAAAATAATCATCTACTGCCTTTAATAGGAAGACCTCTAACACCAAAGATAAGTAAAAACAACCTCAGAGTCCTTTAAACCAAGTAAATTTAGTGGTACCAAAAACTTGTTACACTGTCTTTACAGTTAGTCTTATCACCTTGGATTAGTAATATGGTCATTGTTGACCAGCACTGGTCTAGTCTACTGACTGGCTTCTGCAGATACTAATTTGTCCAGACATAAATTTGACAGTAGCTGGTCAGCAGTCAGTTCAAGGTCAAAGCTGCTTGAATACAGGTATTCCGTGCTGCTGACTGAACAAAGAACTGTGTCTTCCATGCCAAGCATGCAGGTACTGGCTGACCTTCTTGCTGGGAGAAGGGTCCACAGGGCTCTCTGCCATCAGTACCAGAATCTTCCTTGACAACCAGCCTTGCTTCTGCTTAGGATCTTCATCTATCAAGGCCAGAGCTGAGTGCTATGACTATTTCTTTATGTAAGAGATCTTTATGTAAGAAATCCTCAATTACAACAGAGGAAACT